AACCCAAAATGCCTGTCCCAAAAAATTAGCATATTTCATCCCACCAAAATCCCACCAATCATGTTCTAGAATTGCGCTGCTCAAGGTGGCTGCATGTTGGAGCAGCTCTGTTACTTTCATTCTGAGATTTTGCTTTTGGAAACTTTAATTCCTCTTTTTCTGGATGTAAATCACATCTTTTAGATGATTGTTTCCTCTGGTATCAGATGCTGTGCAGCTGGAAGGATTTTTACTGAAACTTTTTTAGTTTTGGACATTTGTTATGATGTGTAACCATGGCAACAAGGCTGTTTTCTACAACAACAGCAGCTGATTAACATCTCAAAAGCTCAAATAATATCTCAACTACAGCCCCAACTCTCAAATGAGTTGAAAAGGATGTTATGTGGACGCATTCTCATCTACCTGCCAGCTGTGCTCGAGTGCCTGACCACTGAGATCCTGGAACTAGCAGGAAACACGGCTCACGACAGCGGAAGGACAGGATTGTCCCTCGGCACCTACAGTTGGCTGTCCACAGCTATGAGGAGCTCGGCAGACTGCTGGGAGGAGTGGCCATCACTCTGGGAGGAGTTCTGCTCTGCATTCAAGCGGTCCTACAGTCCAGGGGAACTGAGAGGCCAGCCGAGTCTGGGTGGACGGATCAGACGGCATCTGCAGCCAGTTTCTTAGGATCCACTGTGGGATGGACCTTTACAAGAGATCCTTCCTGTCTACAGCCATCAGCATCTATAACATCTCTTAATGAAATGAGGATAACGAGTTACAACAACAAATAATTTCCCTTTGGGATTAATAAAGTATTTTTGAATTGAATTGAATTGAAAGACGAGTGTTTTTAATACAAAAAACGCCAACCTTCAAATAATCATGTTCAGTTATGCACTCAATACTTGGTCGGGAATCCTTTTGCATGAATGACTGCTTCAATGCGGCGTGGCATGGAGGCAATCAGCCTGTGGCACTGCTGAGGTGTTATGGAGGCCCAGGATGCTTCGATAGCGGCCTTAAGCTCATCCAGAGTGTTGGGTCTTGCGTCTCTCAACTTTCTCTTCACAATATCCCACAGGTTCTCTATGGGGTTCAGGTCAGGAGAGTTGGCAGGCCAATTGAGCACAGTAATACCATGGTCAGTAAACCATTTACCAGTGGTTTTGGCACTGTGAGCAGGTGCCAGGTCGTGCTGAAAAATGAAATCTTCATCTCCATAAAGCTTTTCAGCAGATGGAAGCATGAAGTGCTCCAAAATCTCCTGATAGCTAGCTGCATTGACCCTGCCCTTGATAAAACACAGTGGACCAACACCAGCAGCTGACGTGACACTCCAGTGACTGTGGAAACTTGACACTGGACCTCAAGCAATGTGAATTCTGTGTCTCCTCTCTTCCTCCAGACTCTGGGACCTTGATTTCCAAAGGAAATGCAAAATTTACTGTAATCAGAGAACATAACTTTGGACCACTCAGCAGCAGTCCCAGGCGAGATGCTTCTGACACAGTCTCTTGTTCAAAAGTGGCTTGACCTGGGGAATGCGGCACCTGTAGCCCATTTCCATTACATACATACAATTCATACATACATACATACATACATACATACATGTATGTATATATACGTGTATATACAAACCGGATTCCAAAATAGTTGGGACACTAAACAAATTATGAATAAAAACTGAATGCAATGATGTGGAGATGGCAAATGTCAATATTTTATTCGTAATATAACATAGATGACAGATCAACAGTTTAATCTGAGTAAATGTAACATTTTAAAGGAAAAATATGTTGATTCAAAATTTCACAGTGTCAACAAATCCCAAAAAAGTTGGGACAAGTAGCAATAAGTGGCTGGAAAAAGGAAATTGAGCATATAACGAACAGCTGGAAGACAAATTAACACTAATTAGGTCAATTGACAACATGATTGGGTATAAAAAGAGCTTCTCAGAGTGTCAGTGTCTCTCAGAAGCCAAGATGGTAAGAGGATCACCAATTCTACCATTGTTGCACAGAAAGATAGAGCAGCAATACCAGAATGGTGTTACCCAGCGTAAAATAGCAAAGACTTTTAAGTTATCGTCATCAACCGTGCATAACATCATCAAAAGATTCAGAGAATCTGGAACAATCGCTGTGCGTAAGGGTCAAGGCCGTAAAACTCTACTGGATGCTCGTGATCTCCGGGCCCTTAAACGTCACTGCACCTCAAACAGGAATGCCACTGTCAAGGAAATAACAGAATGGGCTCAGGAATACTTCCAGAAAGCATTGTCAGTGAACACAATCCACCGTGCCATCCATCGTTGCCAGCTGAAACTCTACAGTGCAAAGAGGAAGCCATTTCTAAGCAAGCTCCACAAGCTCAGACGTTTGCACTGGGCCAGGGGTCATTTAAAATGGAGTGTGGCAAAATGGAAGACTGTTCTGTGGTCAGATGAGTCACGATTTGAAGTTGTTTATAGAACACTGGGACGCCATGTCATCCGGACCAGAGAGGACAAGGATAGCCCAAGTTGTTATCAACGCTCCGTTCAGAAGCCTGCATCACTGATGGTATGGGGTTGCATGAGCGCTTGTGGCATGGGCAGCTTGCATGTCTGGAAAGGCACCATTAATGCAGAGAACTATGTTCAGGTTCTAGAACAACATATGCTCCCATCTAGACGTCATCTCTTTCAGGGAAGACCCTACATTTTTCAACACGATAATGCCAGACCACATTCTGCAGCAATCACAACATCATGGCTACGTAGGAGAAGGATCCGGGTACTGAAATGGCCAGCCTGCAGTCCAGATCTTTCACCTATAGAGAACATTTGGCACATCATAAAGAGGAAGGTGCGACAAAGAAGGTCCAAGACGATTGAACAGTTAGAGGCCTGTATTAGACATGAATGGGAGAGCATTCCTATTTCTAAACTTGAGAAACTGGTCTCCTCTGTCCCCAGACGTCTGTTGAGTGTTGGAAGAAGAAGGGGGGATGCCACACAGTGGTAAAAATGGACTTGTCCCAACTTTTTTTGGATTTGTTGACGCCTTGAAATTTGGAAACAACATATTTTTCCCTTAAAATGATACATTCTCTCAGTTTAAACTTTTGATCTGTGATTTGTGTTCTATTCTGAATAAAATATTAGATGTTGGCACCTCCACATCATTGCATTCAGTTCTTATTCACAATTTGTTTAGTGTCACAACTTTTTTGGAATCCGGTTTGTAAATCCAATTTATAAAATCATAATTGAAAAATCTAGTTGGCCCAAAGTGCTGTAAACATTAACATTAAAGAGTTGCAGTAAAAATTCAATACGTTCAGCCATCATCTCTCATAAACAGTCCAACGTAAAGTGCGACAATATCTGTCTCGCAAAACCCTGAGAGTGATGTTTTTTTTAAAGAACATTTCAGCACAAATGCAGAAAGTGTTATGTATAGAAAAGAACTAACTGTTACAAGAACTATTTCTATTGAAAAAATAAAACAGAAAACAGGC